TAATATTTGAATCGACTGACAGCCCTAATATATTTATTTCTGAGTATGAGGCCTCAATTCTAAATTGGCGACTTTTGAGTTTCAAACAGTAAAAAACGACATCGTTATTCCATAATGAGTAAAAAAGGACCAAAACAAAAAAGTCAAAGAAACGAGACGGACGCGATTCTGTTCAGAGCATAAATAAAATGCAGAAGTTGGAGAATGACTTGAAGTTTGTGAATCCCACTTTTTAATTATTAAAATGCTAAAGGTCAGGCTAACTGAGGAGATCAGTAGTGTCTCGTTAAAGATCAGCTTTAGGCCAATAACTAAGTTTCCCTCGATCTCCCTCACCTTGTAGTGGCGGGCCACGTCAGGGACTCCATCGTATTCCCCCGTCAGGTAGTTCTTCAGCGTGTTGATGGCTTCGTTCTCGCTGTTGACGGCTCCGATCAGCATGTTGTTGGAGATGTTGTCAAGGTGACCGCGAAACTTCAGCCACGGGCCGGCAGCGCTGATGTGATCTGTCGTGCATTTCCCCTTCACCTGCAGAGAAGAAATCAATCATTAACATATCCCTGTTATATAAATAGAGTAAAAATGTTGCAATCATTATATCACAACATTTTCTACTAAAATAACGTGGTTTGATTTAACCCTTTGATGTGAACGACCAGACCATTGTGATCATTCAAGTACACTAATGTGAATTTAGAGGGAACACCGAATATAAGAATGTCTCTTATCATTTAGAAGCGATATTGGTCTTGTGTTTTATAAAAATGTTTAACTGAATATTGACATGATTGAAATGTATTATTCTGACAGTTCGGACACAGTAGTTTATAAAACTTATGAGTAACTTCATTTACTTTTAACTAATTATGTTTTTTTTTTACTTATTTCATTTTGACAGACTGAAACTGATTTATTAAATGATTAAGACATTGAAATAATGTTCAGAGAAAGGTGGCTTTTATTTTTAAAGGTCACATGTCATGGCCATTTCCACTGATCATAATTCCATTGTTGAGGTCTACTAGAATAGATTTACATTGTTCAATGTTCCAAACTCACATTGGTTTCTCACAGCATCTCTGTATAGTATATGTATTCACTCTCTCCACTAAACGGCTCGTTGCAGCTCTTGCCCCCCCCTCCCTGTGAGCCCAGTGTGCTCCGATTGGTCGGGACCAGTCGGGACGTTGTGAATCGCGCTGATTGTCGGAACGAAATGGACCAATCAGCGGGGGCTTAACATAACGGCTCCGCGGACGTAACGTAACGGCTCCACGGATTGGTCCATTTCGTTCCGGGGACGACATGACATCATGATGTACCCGGAAGAATCAAATGGACAGTGACGTATCTCCAACGAGGCGTTTTGGGGAGGTATTTTTATGTGTCTACATGGTGTACTTTGAGGGTTTTGACTCTGCACATCATTTACATGCATAAAAACCTTCATAACACACAAGGGGACGGGTACTAACCGGAAAAGCATGACATGTCACCTTTAAAATCAGTTCAAACAATGTGGGGGATAGTGGAGGCAGATCATACAACATATTTTCAGACCCCAACACGTCTAACTTTGCTTTGTTGCTTCCCTATAATTTATTTCCCTTTAGATACTTCTGCGAGACATGTGAGACGCTAAAGCCAGTTTTTTACAGCGTCCTATAAGAAATGACATAATAATGTGTACTCCATGTTCAAAATTAACTGATTTCCTACATCCCACTGAGCAAGCCACCCTACAGTAGATTGAGTATATTCAAGATCATCGTGCAGTCCTATCTTTAACACAGCTGCAGTGAGAACTTTAAAGGTCCCCAATTATACTGTTTCTCATCAACATATCACAGGTCTCTGATTGGCTGAAACACCAAACGGATCATTGCAGCATTACCCATAATCCCCTCTGTTTCAGCCCTGTTTCCAAAGTGCTGATTCTCTGACTGTTACTTAGACAAGGAGCCCCTCCCCTACGCCCCTCTGATGCGGCTTTCACACCAGCGCTTTTCCCTTTCTAGCTCCGAGCTAGAGCTTTTCTGGTTCAGCTCCGGTTTCTCTTTTCTGCTCCCGCTCTGTTCACACCGCCCAGCACCCGACTGGTGCTGCCGCTGCTGCGTCATGACGTCACCGTTTACATCGCTGATTTGCTCCCCAACGGCATTACGGCGCTCACAACAACAACAACAACGGGGAACTGCGTCGGGTCGATGATCGTGTTGCTTTTAATCACACGAAGCCAGATTAAATTGAATAACGACTTCTTCAACCTTATGCTTTTCTCCAGAGTGCCGTGGTTCATTGTTTATTAATGTGTTTCTGCAGCATTTACCGACCGCTGCAGTGCTGGCTGCTCTTCCACGGGAGTTTATTCTCCTCCGTTAGCTCCCGGTTAGCTCACACTGCTGCGGCCGCTCTAAAGTATTCACTGTCCGACTCACACAAGCAGCTGATACATATCCCCAGTTCCCCTTAGCCTAAGTGAATGTGTGTCAGTCTGAATTGACGCTGTTTGGTATCACAACGCTGTTATGAAAGTTTCTCTGGTATAAAATGGGTGATGTTACCATAGCAACCGAAGCTAAACTGACTACTTGCTATTGCTATCCTATTGTGGCATAAACCGTTTTCTACAGGCACATTTTACCGGCGTATTTTTATTATGATTCTACTTGTGATAGTCGGACACGACAACCTGTGCAGCCCATGTATTGATTCCATCCGATAGCTGCTACAATACAAAACAAAACGTCTGCCTCTCTACACAATGATCAATAACAGTGAACGGATGGTCAAAGTAAGGTACAAATAAACAGAATCACACGAAGCCTGGTTAGTGTTGCCTGACTTTATAAAGTGTGTTTATAAGCACTACTGCTTGTAGGCAGGCATGACAGTCGACCCATGTTCAGGGGAGGAGGGTTTAGTTTCCTGCACGCCTCGACGTAAGAGAGACGCAAGCGACACCACCTCTTAGCTCCGAAGCTCTTGCCTCTAGACCGACAATTTTTTGGAGCTGGAAGTGAACCCGATTCCGGAGCTAAGAGCCGGCGCCGCTGCGGTGTGAACAGGAAAAACCGGCGCTTTTCAGCTCCAGCTCCGAGCCGGAGCTGAAAAAGCGCTGGTGTGAAAGGGGCATCTGAGAGATTTGGTTACAAAGAACTTAATGGTTCTTTGTAACCAAATGCTGTACTGTACTGTACTGTACCCAATATACAAGCTGTTAATAAACTTTTCAATCAATCAATCAATGGTGCTCTAGGAGGAGATTCAGGTGATAAGGGGGGGGGGGGGTTACCTTGGTTGCTGATTGGCTAATGGTTACACAAGCCAACACATCGTTATGACATCACAAAGTGGCCAACATCTGATCAGCTCATTTTCAGACAGGTTTTTATAGAAATGGATCAAAAAGAGAGAGAATCTTTGTTCCTGAAACTTTCAGAGTCTATTTACACAGAGGGGACACATGTTGATGTAGAAGAGACATGAAGAAGAGAGGACACATGTTGATGTAGAAGAGACATGAAGAAGAGGGGACACATGTTGATGTAGAAGAGACATGAAGAAGAGGGGACACATGTTGATGTAGAAGAGACATGAAGAAGAGGGGACACATGTTGATGTAGAAGAGACATGGAGAAGAGGGGACACATGTTGATGTAGAAGAGACATGAGGAAGAGGGGACACATGTTGATGTAGAAGAGACATGAAGAAGAGGGGACACATGTTGATGTAGAAGAGACATGAAGAAGAGGGGACACATGTTGATGTAGAAGAGACATGAAGAAGAGGGGGACACATGTTGATGTAGAAGAGACATGAAGAAGTGGATTTTGCATAATAGGTGACCTTTAATACATTAACTACAACAGGAGGTGTTGTAATTGAAAAGGCTCTGACCTTGATGAGGATCCTCATGTCCTCGAGGTCTCCTCCGCTCCACTTGTCGAAGGGTGTGAGCAGCTGCAGCCGGTTGCTCTTCGGGCTGACGTCCACCTTCAGGCTGATGCCGTCGGGGGGGGGGGTGCTGGTAGGTGTCCTGGCCCGGGTCGAAGTCCTTGGCAGGAAGCTCGTCTCCGTAGGGGGGGTCCAGCATGAACTTCTCCCCGTTGGCGGCCGTGAGGTAATCCGTCTCCGGGTCAAAGTTCAATGTGCCGGCGATCGCCATGGCAGTGACAATCTGAGGAGGGAGAAGTGGAGATAGAAGACATTAAGACTCATAATATTACTTTTAATAAAATGTATTTAGTTTTTTCAAATATCAGTAATAGTAATGACGTTAAAAATATTAAAAAACGAATTAATCAAAGCCCTAAACACACCTCCACGTCCGGTCTTCTCCAGCTTGATTGTACACAACTAGCAAAGTGTTGAATATCTAGTGATGTGGATTCAAGCAATATTCCAATATGGCCCCTTCATCCTCTCCACACCCACTTTAACTAATCTACGTAATGTATACACATCTATGTGAATAGTCAATGATATTAAGCGCTGTTCCAAACTAATCAACGTGAAGGTGAGTTATGGAAACGTCCAACAGCCTCCCACCGACATTGTTCAACACGCTTCGGCTTTTCCATAAAAACCAGTGTTAATTTTGGCAGCTATTTTTGATTTAGTCTTAGTCATAGTCTTTAGACGAAAATGGTTATTAGTTTTAGTCACATTTTAGTCCTTTTTATCCTTCATAGTTTTAGTCGATGAAAAATCATTACATTTTAGTCAACTTTTCGTCAAAATGTTTTCTCTCTTTAAACTAATTCAGTTAATTAGAGGTATCTGAAATTGGAATCAAACTGACAGTATCAAGTGTTGAAATTCGTAAAGCAACATTTCACTCTCTTAACACTTTACTTTTAACGGTACTACTACTCTGAAAAATCTGTGTGCAGGCCGCTGCAGCGCGTCTGTTAGGCCCCGCCCCCCGCACACAGAGAGACAGAGAGGCACCGCCCCCCGCACACAGAAAGGCCCCGCCCCCCGCACACAGACGAGACAGACAGGGATATCGCTCTTCTGGAGTGAAGAGAGGGGAAATAATGATATTGCAAGTTAGAAACGTAAGACGCATTTTGACAGACAAGACGGAAACTTGGGGGAAAATATCCTGCATTTTGAAAGTCCGATAGTCCACCATTAACACCTTAGTCCCGTCTCGTCAACGAAAACTAAATATACATTTCGTCATAGTTTTTATTATCCAGAATCTATTTTTAGCTCGCCATCGTCTCGTCTTAGTCGTGTAAAAAAGGTCGCTTACGAACATTTTTCGTGACGAAATGAACACTGATGCAAACATTTACTAGCAAACTGGGACATTAAAGACAACACCATTTGATATGGTTATAAAGTCACTTACAACAAATGACATTGTAATTTTGAGGGTTTTTTTACAGGTTTTTCTTTTACTAGTTCAAACGAGTAGAGCCACTAAAGAATTTCTGTTTTATTATTATTATTTTTTTAGGGAGATGCTGCTAAGAAACTATGGGAGCAACAGTTCCCTTTTCTTCCAAAGAGAGGGAGGTTTATCCACCACTGTAATTAAATTGATCAGAAGCTTAATTCGGCAGAGAGTGTGACTACAGACAGAGTTTAGGAAGGTGGATTGGAATTGTTCCTTAGTGTGAGTTTACCTCGGGGGAAGTAACAAAGCAGTGAGTTGCGGGGTTAGCATCGTTCCTGGCGGTGAAGTTTCTGTTGAAGGACGTGACGATCGTGTTCTTATCTCCTTTTTTCACATCCTGCCTGAAAGCAAAACACACACAACATTTTTAACTTAAAGGTCCCATGTCATGCTTTTCTGGTTGTTACCCGTCCCCTTGTGTTATGAAGGTTTTTCTGCATGTAAACGGTCTGCAGAGTCACAAACCCTCAAAATACACCCTGTTGCGAGTAAAACTCTAACACACACTCTAACACACCTCCCCAAAACGCCTCGTTTGGAGATACGTCATTGTCCATTTGATTCTTCCGGGTACGCATGATGTCAACCGTACCCGGAACGAAATTGACCAATCCGTGGAGCCGTTACGTTACGTCCACAGAGCCGTTACGTTAAGCCCCCGCTGATTGGTCCAAATTGACCAATCCACGGACTTCCTCACACACTCAGTGCATGCAGCTCTGCTGATTTCTCCTCCCTGGCTGCAGGCTGATAACAGACAGTTGGGATCGCGGCAAAATTCTCTCTGCAGACCCATTCTCTCTGCAGACCCATTCTCACAGCGTTTATCAACCTTTTTCTTACTCAATATCAAGCCACACTTATTGTTTTTACTTCGGCTGTGACTTTGTGTGTGCTCAGGGTGAGTTTGGCTGTGTTTCGATGTGTATCGCTAAACAAGGAAATCACACCTCCACGGAGCTCAGCGCGATTCACAACGTCCCGACCAATCAGAGCACACTGTGCTCACAGGGAGGGGGGGGCTGGAGCTATTGGAGCTACAACGAGCCGTTAAAGGCAGAGAGTGAAATTCAGTGAAGACACGTAGTTTACAGAGATGCTGTTTGAGAAACCAATGTGAGTTTGGAAAATTGCACAATATAAATCTATTCTAGTCGACCTCAACAATGGAATTATGATCAGTGGAAATGGCCATGACATGGGAGCTTTAAAGGTCTCCTATTATACTGTTTTTCATCAATATATCACAGGTCTCAGATATATATAAAACATGTTTCTGATTGGCTGAAACACCAAACAGATCAATGCAGCATCCCATAATCCATAAGATTTTGCATGATAGGTGACCTTTAAGAAAACACTGGTCAAATTATACTTTTCACACACTAAAAGTCATGGCACCTACCTGTCCCACTGTCCAATGCAGGGTCCGCATGCGTTGGCGAGGACAACACCTCCAACATCTCCCAGGATCTTTGACTACAGGAAGAGACACACACATTTTAGTTTTTTTATTTACCGAGACAGACATCTTCTCACTGCTTTCTTTGTGCTCCAACACTCACATATCCGTCTCTTTCGATGGTGGCACGGATCTGCTCGGAGCCGGGGGTGACGGTGAAAATAGCTTTGCACTTCAGTCCTTTATCCAAGGCCTGCTTGGCCACAGAGGCGGCGCGGCCCATGTCTTCGTAGCTGGAGTTGGTACAGCTGCCAATCAGACCTTCAAAAGGGGAAAGATGGAATCTCAGAGAACGTCTTGCTAAAAAAACAACCGGTCATTTTCATGCCTACTGTTGGGAGAATACTGAATGTCCTCTTCCAATATCAGAGCACACATGCTAACAAAGGTATCCCAGCTGTAGCTGTGTACAAGACAGGATGTGTGATTACCTAGAAGAGCATCAGGACTGTTTGAGGCATATGATAGCTATGTGATTAACATGATGATTCAGCCTCTATGGAGATAGACATATGACAAGCATGCTCATTTCTGACGTGGAGCTAATCTGAAGTAAACATTGAATACTGCTTTCTATTCCTCCATCGTGTGACTGTGTAACTCCCTCTCTTGGATATCAGCATGTGAAGGACACTGTTCAGGAACTAGTTGATGCTCTGTACGTGATGACTACTTCCATTCTGGAGAGGATCACAGATACATGGATCCTAAGGTTGAAGCTCAAGCCGGGGACCAGGGATATTTTTCTAACACCGATTTTCAAATGTATGACTAAAGCTTAAGGTTCTTACCAACTTTAACCTCCATGGGCCAGCCGTACTTCTCAGCCGCTGCTCCGATTTCAGACACAGGGTGAGCCAGGTCGGGGGTGAAGGGCCCGTTGATGTGGGGCTTCAGCTGCAGAACGGAGCAACACAACATTCAAGATACTCATTCTCAGATAAACCTCACTCTGTAATTGGAAGTTATGAAGAGAACCTCTCCCTCAAACATTCTGCAGCAAATGATGGCCGTTATGTTTAATTGTAAGGGTGAGGGTGCAACGTGTATTTTAGAGACGTCTTCCAGCACTGGTTAGACACACAGAGGAATCATGTTTCTACCAAGAACTGGATCTAACAACTGATAAGGTCATTATTTATTTTTTAAAACTCACTTTTTTACTAGTTTCTTGTTATTTTACACATTAAATATTATAAAACAATCTAGTTTATTTGAGGAAAATATAAAAAAAACTACAAGGTAAATAAAATGCTCTGTGGTAAAGTCTGGTTTTCCCTCATACATCTCGTGTTAAATGATGCCTGGTCAGAGCCCTTTCTTTGATGTCTCTCCCTTCATGTATTTCATGTTCCTGCTCTGCACTTTGAAGTATCCAATGAAAGCTGAGAGATCATAAAACAGGAAAAGAAACAAGGACAGACCTCGTCAAGATTGAGCTCGATGAGCTCGTCGTACTCGCAGCCTTCATCAGGAACCAACAGGTCGGCGTATTGATCGGCCACGGCAGCGATATCTGCGAAGAAACAATTGTGTTCAGTATTACCATATAATCAGTGGCGAGCCCTCTGTGAGGGCCCAAGATATTCAAAAAAATTATATCTAAAAACATTTTTTTTTTAAATATATTTTTTTTAAATATATATTTTTGTTATATTTTTCATTAGTTTTACCGAAAAAACTTGATTTAATTGTATTTAAAATAACATTTCCAAAGAAATAAATACTTCGAATCTGCCTGTTCAGTTTCTGTTTGAATGTGAAGGGTCGATGGAAGGGTTACATGAAAGAAGCTCGTCTGGCCCTCTATGCGATTCACAGAGGGCCCGCTATAGTAAAACAACGAGAGAGTAATGTCAAGTGACAGTACAATTGACCAATCATATATTCCCTCTAAATGGGAGGGCTTTATTATCGCGGACTTTATGACAAGTTCCGCCCGCTGCGCTGCCACGTTTATGCATGTGCTATATCAACGGGTCAAGCTAGGCGGAAGTAGCTAATTAGCATACGTTCATTCCTATGGTTCATTCACGATGGCTCACGTTAGTGATAGTGATGACATCGTTGCGAAACTACTAACCGAGTCTTTTTCAAGAATGAGTTACACGGATAAATTGGAGTTAATTACCAAAGGGCGACCAACACCACAGCTTAATTTGGTTCAAAAAACCAAACAGTTCGAGAGGCATTTTAATATCGGCAATTACGCCAGATACAACTGGATGACCGGATCAACCAGGGAACAAAAGCTGTACTGCTGGGATTGCTTGCTTTTTGGAGCGGACAGTGGGTCATGGGCCAGAGATGGATATTCTGATTTAGGAAGTTTATCCAAATCAGCACATCGCCATCAGAATGCTTCAGGTCACCTCAGAGCTACTATTCGGCTTAAAACATTTGGGGACACCAGGATAGAGCTCCAGCTGGATGAGCAACAACGCCGGGGTGTCATCCTTCATAATGAAAAGGTGAAGAGGAACCGAGGAATTTTGAAACGCCTCATAAACTGTGTGGTGTACTTGGGCAAGCAGGAGTTGCCGTTCCGAGGTCACGATGAGAGTGTAACTTCATCAAACAAGGGGAATTACATAGAGTTGCTGGATTTAGTGGCAGAATATGACAGCGACCTGCACACACACCTCGCCACATCAACAGTATTTACCGGCACATCTTCAAGGATTCAGAATGACCTGATCAGCGCTGTCGCTAGTGTAATGACGGATAGCATGAAAGAGGAGCTGAGGAAGGCACCTTTTGTTGCGGTCATGTTGGATGAAACGACAGACATTAGCAACGTGGCGCAGATGTCATATGTGCTTCGATATGTCACTGACGATGGGATAAAAGAGCGTTTCTTCAAGTACGAAGATGTGACAGAGGACAAACGAGCAGAGGCCATAGCTACACGGCTGCTGGAGTTCCTGAGGGAGAGTGGCTGTATTGACAAAGTGGTCGCGCAGTGCTACGATGGAGCAGCTGTTATGGCCTCTGGATTGAATGGGGTGCAAGCGAAAGTTAAGGAAACAATTCCACAGGCCCTTTTCATTCACTGCTATGCTCATATCTTAAATCTCGTCTTGTCAAAGGGAGCTTCCAAGATAAGAGAGTGTAAGGTCTTCTTCTCCCACCTCTCTGGCTTGGCCACCTTTTTCAGCCGCTCAGCAAAGCGCACCAAGCTACTGGATGATGTTTGCCAGCATAGGCTTCCACGGGCAGCTCCTACTCGCTGGTGCTTTCATTCTCGCTTGGTGTGCACAGTGGCAGAGAAGACCAGGGAATTGAGAGAGGTAAGATAACAATGAACGTAATGGAAATATTAACAATAATAAAGAAATGATTTAGTGTTGGAAACTACCCACTCATAAAAACATGAAGGTAAAGAACTATGCTAGTATTACATTAAATGAAAAGCTAATCTTAGTGTTTACTGGAGGTCTATAAGTTGTTTTTTCTAAACTAAGCATTACTCTCGTAGGTGTTCGAGCACATCGTAGACCATCACACAGAGTTTGATGACGAAACTGTTCATTGCTCTGATGGATACATCACCCTCCTTACCAGCTTCGATTTCAGCTTTTGGTTGAAAACCTTCCATGCTATCTTCTCCTACTCGGATGTTGTTTTTGAAATACTTCAGAACAAAGGTTTTGATATGCAGTTCTGCCTGGCCAGAGTGGATCAGCTACAGCGACAAATTGAACAGGAGAAGGGGAACTTTGACAGCGTCTACGATGAAACCCAGGCTTTGGTTGGCCCTCCGCGCGGCCGTGGCGCTCAAGGAGACGTTCGTGCACGGTACAGGGAGCTCCACTGCAGCGTAATTGACAGCCTGCTAACCCAGATTTCCAACCGCTTCAGTGACCACAAAAAGCTGGAATTCCTGGCCCTTCTGGACCCGCAACAGTTCGGGCATTACTGTAACTATTTCCCAACTGCTGCCTTGAACAGTTTGATGGGGAGCTATGGCGGATATTTCGACCAGCCTCGACTGCACACGGAACTCGCCGTGATGTACGGCATGTCTGACATTTTGGGGAAAAGCCCAGCCGACATTCATCAGTTTCTCCTCAAAAAAGGACTGAGTGAAAGCATGAAACAGGTGTACACCCTCTCATGCATCATCCTGACAATACCTGTGTCCACTGCCTCTGTGGAGAGGTCCTTCTCTGCGCTGACGCGCATAAAAAGCTACTCGAGGTCCACGACTGGGCAAGTCCAACTGTCAGACTTGGCCTTAATTTCGATCGAGAAGGAATTTCTGATTGCTTTAAAAGCAAAGGATCAGCTGCATGACGACGCTATCAAGTTCTTCATCCAAAAGGACAGGAGGATGGACTTTGTGTTTAGGTGATTTGATCAATGTGGGCCGCCGTGCCGACTTAATTGATTTTTAATTGTTACTTGGCTGTGGGTGCCCTGTCATGATAGGTGTTTAGATACATGGTGTTGTTTTGTGTGGTAGAGGGTCGCTGTCATTGATGCGTTTTGCACCCCGGGCCGCTGTTTTGATATTCCGCTGAAGTATACTATAGGCTGTGACGTAAAAACTTTTTTTTTTTCTTCGAGGGAAGAGGGGGGTGGGGTCAGAGGGCCTAGGTAGAAAAGTCACGGCTCGCCACAGCATATAATATATATACTCTTTGGAATTCATTTTCTTTCATAACTTAAGTTTTATTCTATTTCTGAAAAATGGGCATTACAACTTAAGAAACTAAACTGCTGATCTATGTGTGCCCTGAACATTTCAATAAACAAAACTGTGGGGAAATAAAAATAAATACATTGTATGACTAAAAGCCCTAAACACACCTCCCCGTCCGGTCTTCTCCAGGTACGTCTTCATGCGATGGTTGTAGGGGAACACTGAGGTCGTGGCTCCGATCTCTGCTCCCATGTTGCAGATGGTGGCCATTCCTGAACACAATCAAAACAGATGAATATTAAACATAGAAAGACATGGCTAAAGAAACTAAGTTATTCAATTGTAATAAAGTGTGTAACCGACCCTGCTCTGCTAAAGATGTCACTCCTTGGATAAAATGCTTTTATTTATTCTGTTAAAGGTGGGGTAGGTAATTTTGGAGAAACCAGCTCGAGTGTGCGAGAATTTGAAAATACACTTCCTCACAGAGCCCCTCCTCCAACACACACGGACGCGCACATGACCAATGAGGGCACGAGATCAGTTTGTGCCCAGATGGAAGGCTGACAGGCAGGTAGGCCATCCAGTTACTTTAGCCGGCTCAGATGATTGGTCGTGCTTTTTACAGCGCCACGGCTTCTACAGATGATATTTTATGTATTTATTGTCAAAGCACTTAAGATATTCATTGCTATCGGGATGTTAAGAGCATTCCATGGAATATAACAAAAAGTATATCTGAAGTTAATTACCTACCCCACCTTTAAATATTATTAATTTCTTTTTTATAATTATCTTATTTATTTCCTTATTTTAACTTGTAACTGTTTTACTTTATTTTATTTCATATTCTGTTTAACCATATTATTATTTGTCATTTGAATGGAAAAGTCCTATGTCCGGATATGTCTTGATTTGTAAAAATGAAAAATAAACAGTTAAAAAAAACAACAACAAAAACTCCTCACCAGTGCAGGAGATGGAGTCGACTCCTGGTCCGTGGTATTCAACGATAGCTCCTGTTCCTCCCTTCACGGTCAGGATGCCGGCCACCTTCAGGATGACGTCTTTAGGAGACGTCCAGCCTGAGAGGGAACCCGTCAACTTCACACCGATCACCTGAGAGGCAGAGACGGGGTCTTTATTATGGTTAGGAGGTCCAATAAGACGCAGACACATTTATTGCTCTTTTTGCCCCAATTATGTAAGAGACAATAGTCCTTTCTGATTATACATCGTTAAGGAATGAATTGTCCACTAATATAGGATTTTTTGAAGGTTTACCATAGGTGCTGGACTTTTTCTTCCTCATTCATTACTTCAACCACATCCTGTCTCTTTCCTTCCAATCATAATGTGTGCTTTTCTTTTGGGCATCAATCTGTAGTTGAATTATGTAAAATTCCCAGAGCTTGCCAGTGAACCGGCAAGAGTCCATGCGTCTTGTCATTTTCTGAACATTAGTGTGCATGTAAACCCTGTTTATAAGACAACTGACATTCCTTTCTGCTAACCTTAGGGCACTTGAGCTCCCAGGCGATTCCTGCCATGACGTCGACAGCGTCTGCTCCTCCGACTCCGATGCAGATGGAGCCGAGTCCACCGCCGTTTGGTGTGTGGGAATCTGTGCCGATGAGCATCACTCCTGGGTAGGCGTAGTTCTCCAGGATGATCTGTTTTATATCAAATCTTAAAGTTAGCATGCTAATTGAATTACAGTGGCCTCAATGTTTGTCATTTTTCTGGAAATGTTTAACAAACTTAAGGAAACTTAATACCTGATGGATGATTCCAGAGCCTGGTTTCCAGAAGCCGACTCCGTACTTTGCTCCAGCGCTGGACAGGAAGTTGTAGACCTCCTCGTTGATTTCCTAACACGACAACCATGGTGATAACTCTGGTTAACATATGGAAGCCCATTGACTTCAGTAAGAGAAAGAAAAAAAACAGACACAAAATGTAATTCAGTCTATTAATAGCCGCTTTCAGACCAAGTGCTTTGCCGTACTTAGTTCCCAGCACTTAGTTCCCCCATGGAACTAAAGAGCTGATCGCGTTCACACCGGAATAAGTCCCTGAGGGTGGATTAGGCAAATGAAGCCGCTGACGTCACTTCTTCTTCTTCTGCTTTGGGTTTACTGGAAGGCCGCAAACAACTTCACGGCGTATACTGCCACCCGGAGTCCCCGGCCGGAAGTCCCCGGAGTTGGAGACTGGCTTCAGTAGAAGCTGCTGGGAGTCCCAGCAGCTTCTACTGAAGCCTTCCGAGTAAATCGCCAGAACGCCGACACCTCCTCATCGCCACCGCTCCCATGTTTTTTTTTGTGTTGCCATAAGTTATTCTCTCTCCGTTGGTGCGCTGGGCTAATGCTAATGCTAATAATGCTAATGCCAGCAAATACAATGGCAGCTTAAAAAAACTTTTCCGAGTTTTACGGGGCGTGGTTTGCAATTCGCCCAGCCAATCAGAAATTGGAACCTTTTCCTCCCAAGGTACCACCTCTCTAGCAGAGACTAAAAAGGGGGGAAAAGTTCTCATGAACTAAGTTCTCTTTATGGTGTGAACGCAAAATCCCAGGAACTAAAAGGGAAAAGTACTTGGTGTGAAAGGGCCTAATGACAAACTCGTGAAACAATTATTTAGTTATCCTTTTGCAATACTTCATTTGACAAAGTTTCCCTAATTTTCTTTTTTAGATACTAAGTCTCGTATCAGAGTATTTATTTTGGAGAAAGTTTATAGCCAATTTGTAATATTATTATAATTTGTAATTCTCATTATTACGAGATGCTAAGTCATTATTTTGAGAGTCTCATTATAATGACTAACTGAATCTTCTTTATTTCATACAAATGAGCAGAAATGAGCTGTGAAGTCACATCATAGGAGTACAAATACTGGTTTAAAATACATATACTTGTGAGGTCCCTCACCTTTGCCCTGGCCAGATCCTTCTCCCCTCCGGTCTGGGCCTCGATCAGGTGGTCGCAGTGGATGGTGGAGGGCACGGCCACCCTGGGCAGGCCGCTGCTGATGAACTGCAGCATGGCCATCTGGGCCGTGGCGTCCTGCATGGCCACGCGGTCGGGCCGCAGACGCAGGTACGTGCGCCCGCGGTCGATCTCCTGATTCTTGGGGTCATCGAGATGGCCGTACACGATCTTCTCTGACAGGGTGAGGGGCCGGTTGAGTCTGGAGAAGAGATATTAAATCACATTTAGTTTATTTACATTTTTGTTTTAGCTGACTGGTTTTCTATTTATTTATTTGTTTGTCTGTTTTTGTTTGTCTGTCTTCTGTGGGATTTTGTTTGCCCTGGTGTTAAGCAGTATTTACATTGTTACTCTACCTATTTCTCTGTAAAGTGAAGATTTGTTTACCTACTTTTTATACATGCTCTGATAGAATAAATGTATGCTGTTGAAAAAACCCAATAAACTAAGTTTAAAAAAAGAAAAAAAAAGTGAGTTTTATTATTCACTTATTTTTAAATCTTAATTTTCTTTTTTATTATTAGTTACTTGTTTTCTTCTACAAATTAGATAGCAGCTAAAGAATAAAGTAGTGAGAATCTGGGGGTCAGGCTGACTATCAAGAGCTTATAAAGGCTACAACGTTGGTGAAAAACTATGGTGTTCAAGGACAGACAAACACCAGACATCAAACAATCACACGGAGAAAGGAGTGTTTGGAAGAGACTGCGAGTTGAACCAGAGCAAATAAATATCAGATTAGGAGCAGACTGACCTCGATCGCACAATGTCAATGTTGGATTGGAGCCGCTCGTAGTTGATGAAGGAAGTGGGCTCAAAGCGACTCATAGACACTTTGGCGTTGGCTCTGTACGCTGCAGATATATGCAGGCGCCGCGCACCATTACCCAGCACCAGCTGAAGACAGGAACAACAAGAAAAACACAAGGATGAGCAAATCAATCATTCAAGGTAATTCAAGAGTCAAAACATACATTGGAAATCTAATTATGGGTTCATTCACAAAAAGAAATAGGCTGGTTAAAGTACTTTATATTTAGGTTATGTGGTATTTTTACGAGTTGGGATGCTCAGATTTAGTTTGACTTATGTATTACTGGAGTATATTCTATTGCTCTGGTTTTCCACAACACCATACAAGGCCAGCTAAAAACAGTAATTCAGTACAATGTCATTACCTAGACAACATGTCATTTCCCAAGCCTATAAACACATTTCTTATGTCGATTTCAGTAGAAAGTGATCTGCTTTTCTGGTATCTTTCTTCTACATTATCCAGCTCAATGTAGAAATTAAGGTAGACTATCCCTCAATTAGACCTCCAATTGGTTCAGATATAAGAAGATTTAAACACCTAGTCATTATTGTGTTAGGTGTAATAAAACGAGTCAAATCTTAACAGTAAACTGCTGGCTGGACATACGGATGAAGAAGTACTCAGATCTTGTACTTGAGTAAAAGTAGAAGTATCAGAGTGTAGGAATACTGTGTTACAAGTAAAAGTCCTGCATTCAAAATGTTACTCAAGTAAAAGTACAAAAGTATCAGCATCAAATCCCATTTCAAAAGCATACATCAAAAGGGCAGCTAGTTTTAATCACTTTACATGTTGTATTTAAGTACATTTGTTTGTAAATGCACAGCTCTGCATATGACACACCCTGTTGACACATCATGCTGAATGAGAAAACCTTCCCAATAGAGCATGTGCAACTACATAAAAAAAGAGAAACTCTTTTTTTGATATAAAAATCTGTAAATTAAAATATATATATGTTGTCTTTTTTCACATGTTGCTCCGCTGAGTGCCTGCTGAGAGCTCTAACCTTGTGGTTAACCTTGCTATTTAAACCCTAAACTCAATTTATCGATCTAACCTAGCTGTGAACCTATAAGATCTGTTTGTGAAGATTGTAATTTAATACAAACAGAGACATTAGCTGTTTTTTATTAGGCTGGTTTTGGTTGTTTTCCATTGAGGACACGGTGACCTGGGCAACCAACCGGTGACCGTTACTCTCTCATTTACCCTTACAAATCCTTCTAACAGCTTTAAAAATGCCAGGTAACCACTACAATTAATACAATAAAGGTTAGGTAGTAAGTGACATCCTTAAATGGCTTATAATTATGGTTGAATTCGCTAATTTTCCTCTCTTACCTGGAGCCGGGCGGCAGTTAGACAGTAGGTTGCCATTTTGTTCACTGACAAAGATGTGACGGCAGGTTGTGACGTCACAGTTTTGTAAACCGGCGGTCTCTCAGGTCCTTAACGGACTTTTTTTTTCTTTCTAGTTTAGTAATTAATTTACATTATTTACAACATTTGATTTTGACGTAGAATCGACTCAATGAGTTAATATTATTTTAATATTTGAAATAAGACAAACAATAACATTTGATTCATGCAATATAGAATTGTAATGTTGGATTAAGTTGTATACACCTGTCAGGATGTGGATCGTTTGAATTATTTTTATTTTTTATTTAGAAAATAAATATTTTATGCACATCAATATTTTAATGACATCAATTATTATCGTATTATTTAAAAAAGGGAAACAAATATATAATAAGCAAGATATTATTAATAATCTTTGTCATGTATCTATATATGTATTGCAGCCGCTAGGTGGCGGTAATGAAAAAACCCCACACTCAGTTCCCCGGTCAAAGGTGGAAGTTGAACCAGCAGCGCTCTCCTTACGTTTCTTACGTTATCCCACAATGGCTAAACATCATCCAGATTTGATTTTTTGCAGAAAACAAGCCGGTGTCGGTATGTTAAAACCTCTTTAATTTCATGCACTGTTTTACGTTTGTATCTGTGTTGAAGCCTGGTGGCTTATATTGTTATTAAACTCGTGCTAGCTTCCATGCTAACAGTAACAGCATGGATTTCATTGAAATAACGTTAGCAATGATGTTAGCTTCTTAACTTCTACCTCACTAATATTAATGTTATTGTTACAGTTATGACTTCAGTGTAGTTAATAAAGAGTTTTACTGTAATTATGGGTAAAGAATATTCACTCTAATCCAACAAAGTGATGTGATCTAACCCTGACTGTCTCTGCTTTGTTTTTATTCCACAGCTATTGGGAGACTTTGTGAAAAATGTAAGTGTTTCCTCCTTTAGTTAATTTCATAATTAAATGTTTTTTCTAAGCGTATGGTACATATTTAAGTATGCTGTCATATTTGTCCTCACTTGTGTATCTGTTAAAATAACGTAAGTTCTACATTTATTGAGAGAATTCACCTATAAAGCTGAAAACAGACTTCTAGATTCCTGTATTATACAATTAATTACATGAATATTAAAGACATTCTCTATTAATTAACCTTTAAATAACATTAACAACAACAAGTCATCATTACTGTTGTGTCAAACCAATTAATATCTTATTATTACACATACCCTTTTTTACATTGCATTTGTGTTGTGAAAGTTGTCAATAACCACAATTATTTCCTTTTTCATCACAAAGCTATAATTGTATTTCTGTAATTATTGTAATTAAATATATCTGCATTTAATGTAACATTAATTTAGTTGCTGTTTCCACAATGGCAAAGGGTGTGTTATTCATCCCTGTATTGTACTCTCTTATGTCTAACACTTCCTGTCTCTGCTCCTCCTCTCAGGTGACGGTAAATGTGTGATCTGTGATTCCTACGTGAGGCCGTGCACGCTGGTGAGGATCTGTGATGAGTGTAACTACGGCTCCTATCAGGGGCGCTGCGTCATCTGCGGAGGGCCCGGGGTGTCCGACGCCTACTACTGCAAAGAGTGCACCATCCAGGAGAAAGATGTGAGTGTCTCCTTTAAAAACATTTAACTTATTCTTTATCTGTTCTCTAAATGATGTTTATTCCAGCCATGTTTGAAAGATAGATATATGTGACACAATTACTGGACATAAAATACACTGTTTTCACACACATGTAAATAATATGTACACATGACCAAATATGTATATATGTTCATTTTAATTAATTTCTTATTTTATAGTTATTTTATCATTTACATTTGTTTCTTTGATTTTATCCTTCATTTTAATCTGTGTGAATCTGTGCAGTCCTGTTTTTCATCTTTACCCTGTTGCTGTTAAACTACTGAATTTCCCCACAGGGATTAATAGAATAGAATCGGAGGGATGAAAGCCTCTTTAATGGTCTCACATGCAGAGCACAAACATTACATTGCATTTAGCTGACGCTTTTATCCAAAGCGACTTACAATAAGTGCGTTCGACCAACAAGATACAAACTTGAAGAAAACGGAATCTTCACACAGTGACATGTGTTCTCTGCTTTTAACCCATCCTAGTACCAGGAGTCTAGCACTAGGAGCTATGGGAGTGAGGGAGGTGGGGGTTAGTCCGGTGCCTTGATCAAGGGCACCACGGCAGGGCAGGAGGTGAACTGGGACCTCTCCAAGTAGCAGTCCACGCTCCATATTTTAGGTCTGGTCGGGGACTTGAACCGGCGACCCTACAGTTCCCAGTCCAAGCCCCTACTGACTGAGCCCCTGCCTGACAATAATAATAATAAATATAAAGGTCCATCTTATCTCATATAGATAGATCATTTATTGATTCCGAATTGGGAAATTGTTGAGTTACAGCACATGTGAGAGCTTTGTTACCCTGCAATGATTAATGGTGGACTTTTACGGAGCAGCTGGAAAGATGTTTTCTAAACTGTCTTGTTCTGTTTCCTTCACAGCGAGACGGCTGTCCTAAGATTGTGAACTTGGGCAGCTCGAAGACAGATCTGTTTTATGAACGGAAGAAGTACGGCTTCAAGAAGAGGTGAAGAACCCAAGACCCCGCCCGTCCAGTCCGTGTTTTAGTTTTTCAGCTTTTGCAGAATTTTTTTCATCTTCAAGAAACGTTTTTTTTTTTTGACTTGTCAATAAAACTCTGTTTTATATTTCTGTCTTTGAGTCTCTCTGTTTTTAATGTTATCACATCACCTATATACAGTCACTTAATATTTGGTTACTAAAATGTCAATCCTATGTTTACCATCAACATACAAACAAAACACATCATTTGATTTAAAATATAACTTGTATATACAGATGTTTTACTTCTCACCCAGGCTTTATCAATTAGTTTTTTATTCAATATTGTTCTCTTTCTTCATGGATAATTGAAGTATTGAAGTGTGTGGGGGAAACTTCTTTAAGCAATGGGAGTCAGGACTCAGAGAGACACGAGGAGAGCTGGAGCTTTGATGGCAAACACCGACGGTTTATTTGGAGCTTCGGCCGGAGAATTCACAAGACATGTCACGGGTTGACCACACGGTTGAGATGCCACAATCAATCCTGAAGAGCCCTCCTGTAGCTCCAGGTTTTAACTAGTTCAGAGTGTGATAATCAACATTCTTCAATAGATAGACTAAACAGTGGACACTGAATCACAGTTATTTATTATTTATTATTATCACAGCTTATGGCTCGGGGTCATCTACACCCCGAGAAGGATGTGTTCCAGGTGTCCCACAGCAATAACTATCTCTGACCGAGAGTAGCCCGGTCACAAACTGGTAGCAACAACAACTTGCTAGGGCAGCCCCTCCTTATGGGAGATAACGGCAGCTTGGGGTTGGTCAGCTGCGTCAGAGGGCGAAGGAGGACATGCAGGGTGAATCATTCCCCAACAAAGTGCATCAATCTATTATTGATTTTGTGAATTTATTAGTAAGAATTCTGTACACAAACGTCACAGGTGAAATGTTAGTACAATAACAAATTATATTACTATACAAATACGCTCTACATCTTAAACCAGAGTGGAGTCTAGATGTATAATCTAGCTTGAACACATCTGATAGAAATGGCTGTAAATAAATATATTTTTTTCCTTTACGACAAAAGCGGTATTATGTTTCCCGGAAATAAAAGGGTTACCATTTAAAATATTATTGAAGATTTGACAGGATAAGTGTGTTGAAAATTAAAGTATATATGGCATTTATTTGAGAGACAGTTTTGTATAGGTCTTCACATATAGAGCTGTCCATGGCCAAGCCCCAGCCTACATTAACGACCTGATCCACCCTCACAGCACAACCCGGGCCCCGAGGTCCTCTGAGCAAGGCCTCCTAAGGGTGCCCCGGACTGGGCTAAAGACTAAGGGGGGCCATGCCTTTGAGGCGGTGGAACAAGCTCCCCCAGACACGGAGAGCCTCTGCCTCAGTAGAGGTTTTTAAGGGGCAGTTAAAGACCCACCTGTTCCAACAGGCCTTTGGGGCGCCGGAGGAGGTGTTAGTAGCTGTCTTTTATTGGTGTTTTGTCGTATGTAGTACCTGCTGTTGTTTTATGCCTTTTATTCTACATGTTATAGTTGTACTTTGAATTGTGTCCTGTGTACTGTACTGTAAAGCACTTTGTACATCCGTGATGAGAAGGGTGCTATATAAATAAAGTTTTAATTACTTTTGTCTATGGACATCTGTACAACTTTTTTCAATTCAGTTACTGCTTAAATCTTATGAAACATTATGTAAAAAAACAAGATAACACTTTCTCAATAAGGCTTTATTTATACATACAAGACACAAAAGTTAGCTACACGCAAAATGCCAAGGCGTGTTTTACAAAGAAATACAAAGGCAAACCTTCAAGGTGAAAATCAGAAGCAATCTCTATTACAGCTAAAAGCAAAAAGCACTCGTAATTCATGCCAAAAATAAACTCAAAACAAATGAAAAGATGCCACTTTTTATGAAGAAAGTGTCAAATTTCATGAAGAAATAAAAACATGATAAGAACAAATAAGCTGTTCTTCAAACATGGCAAAAAATGGCCTTATATTGCACTCATTTCGGTAAAGTCACTACGTCTAAGGTTAAAAGCAAAGCAACACAAGAACAACAAAGCTTCCCTTATGCCAGAAATTGGACAGTAAAATAAGAAAGATATTTTTTGATGTTTTTGTTAAACAACATAATCCCTGTAAACGGGCAGACTGTGCACAGCGTTAAGGGTCCAGTTTTGATAAAAGATGCCCCGGATAAAGTCTGCATTTATTAAAGTTCCCTGGTTTGTAAAAAAATGAATTAATTAATTCAGACACAAATAAGAAAAGTAGTGAAAACTCTTCTTACAATCTAGAATGCACGTTTGCCCCAGTCAAAGGTTTTTGAATACTTAGTTTTGGGAACATTTCAAGCAGCCGACTGTAAAATAATAGGAATTAATTAAATCTTTTAAGACAACATGGGCTTAGTGAGTGAATCATTTCCCCTCCGTCATTTAAGTCCCGTTGGCACCAGATTAAGGCCGTTTCTCAATGTCGAGTAAACCTGCTGCAGAGCCACTATTTCCAGTATACTACGTCATCGAGTGGCGCCGAATGCTGAGCATTTAAACAGTCCTTCGGCGCCACTCGATGACGTAGTATACTTGAAATAGTGGCTCTGCAGCAGGCTTACTCGACATTGAGAAACGGCCACAGCCTGCCAAAGCCATTTCAAAACATGCGGCTTTATGGATGCAAATGTCAGCGAGAGGTTTTACATTTCAGGAATTTACTCAAACGTCCTCTTCCACTGCTTGAAATGTATCCAAAACTTACAGTGGTCCAAAAACTCAACTTGCTCTTAATACATTTTAACATAAAAGCAAAACATAAAAAGCCTAGAAAGTATTATTCCAGGCTACATCTATTTACAGTACATGATCGGTGGATTTTAAACATCCGAAAGGTTATTGACGTAAATAGACGAGTAGAAGAGAGGTGAATATGGCTGTACTGTTCCACTGTAATGCCCTGAAGTAGCTTAAGTTATTGGAAATGTCGTAGATAAAACGGTTTTGTGGGCCAAGAAAAGCCCTTCACAGAATCTGTCACATGATCAAAGATCTTTCGGCATTAAAAACATGATAAAGTACACTCCCTCTAGAAGGTGCACTCAAATATCCTCTCTCACGTGGATGGTGAATCTTAAAAAAAATAAAAGTGAGACGGCTGGGTCTGCACACGCTCCTGCACCTCCTCTTCGTCATTTGATAGACTCTAACGTTGGCCCAATTGATTGGTAATTTATTTTTTCGTTAGAAGAAATAAATTAATAAACAATGGCTGTCTATTGGTCTTCCAGCGGCGCACTTTAAAGAGAAGAGAACAAGGATGAAGAACAAGCAGAGGAGGAGGGGCAGACATTAAAACAGCAGAAAGAGTACACAAACAAACAAACAACATCTGGAGCTGAATGTTGTTTTCAAATTCAAGCTTTAATGCGTGTCGTCATATATTAGAGATTGTAAGTGATTTACGGATGTCTGCATTCTTTAATGTTCAACAAGCGCTTTATTTGTTCTCATACTGCCTGAGATGCAGCACCTCTTTTCACCCTCTGTTGGACCTAACTTGGGCCCAATCCCAAACCATGTCCTACCCCTACCCTTACACACCATCCTACACACTACCCCTACACACTACCCCTAAACACTACCCCTACACACTACCCTTACACACCATCCCTACACACTACCCCCTACACACTACCCCCTACACCCTACACCCTACCCCTACACACTACACCCTACACACTACCCCTACACACTACCCCTACACACTACCCCTACACACTACCCCCTACACCGTACACCCCTACCCCTAAACACTACACCCTACCCCTAAACACTACCCCTACACACTACACCCTACCCCTAAACACTACCCCTAAACACTACCCCTACACACGACACCCTACCCCTAAACACTACCCCCTACCCCTACACCCCTATACCCTACCCCTAAACCCTACCCCTAAACACTACCCCTACACACTACCCCTACCCTACACACACTACCCCTACCCTAGAAAAGCAGAACAGTTATTAATAGTTTTGACCGCAGAAAGAATGTTGTTTTTGAAACACAAACATTATGTATTAAAGCAGAATATTTACTTCTACATAAAGACATCACTGAAAACCCACCTGTTCAACACTGCATTCGACCACTGAACACCCCCCTCCCCCCTTTTCTGTTTATCTCTTTGTTTTGTTGTTGTTTTTATTCTCTGTCAAAGCGTCTTTGAGTTTTTAGAAAAGCGCTATAAAAGTCTCATGTATTATTATTATATCTGATGTTCTGTAAAGAACAAGTTCAGTTTCTCTCTCCTTTGTCTAATAGCGATGCCCATCCATCATAACCATCAAGTGTTTGGTGCTCTGGTGAGGAGGAGTGTCTGTTTTCTTTTTAGCCCGACTGACTATCGGCTCAGATTTCACCCGTGAGGATATCAGAAGTGTTTAACTCTGCCTCAGTGTCTCCTTCCTCTCCTGTTGTTAACTGTATGTGTAACAGTGGATTTAACTTACAGGTCTTGTTTATAACAACACTGCCCAAAGAATGTTTCCAACCCTGCATGTGGGAACTGATACTGTCTGCTGTACAGATGTCCTTCTACATGTGTTTATGTGTTCCCTTACAGTGCTCCATATTTAGCCTCGTAGCACCCCACTGTGTTTTTGTAGCGGGTGGACTCCTTCCGCAGGTCGGCGACTTCTGTGCGCAGAGCCGAGTTCTCGCGCTGCAGGAACGACGCTCTCACGGTGATCTGGTTCTCCTTTAACCTGCGGGCGTCACGGGAACGTTTGGCCGCCACGTTGTTCTTCTTCCTCCTGTGCCAGTACTTGTCGTCCTGGAGAAGAAAGAAGCAGCAGGTTGGACGGAGGAAAGAAAGACAACATGAGACCCCTCGATGCTTTTTGACCTCGACCTGGTTTTATAGCCTTGTGATGTTATTGTTATGTAAGCCCTAATCTGACCATCTTTTGTGATAACAAAAACATGAGTTCTTCTCAGAGGGACTGGGAAGGAGGAAACTGTGAGACAGCCTGGTTTCTGCTGTGTCTCCTTCCATTACACCAGCTCTGCAATCACAAGCCAAAGAAAATGATTGTTCCAGGCTTGT